TATGAAGGCGTCCTCTTTTACCATATATTTTACTATTTTCTTCTTAATCTTCAAGAATATTAGACCTGGTCAAAGACTTGCTGTCGTTCTAATACCAGGAATACGTCTCCTGTAACCTTGAAGTCAGTCATTTTGGTTTACCTACTTTATATGTAGCGTTGTTATCAGTCCAAAACATTGGTTTGAACATTCATTATCTTTATGTAACCATAATGTAATATTATATGATTAAGATCCCGTTGCCGAAAATGGTTTCTCATAATTCCATATTTCATCATTTCCGATACCAAACCTTTGTCTGATTGTAAACAGTTCACCCATCTTTTCAGATAATCTGTAATTTTGACAATGTCTAACGGCTCTGTTGTACTGTCTGCAGTCGGCCAACCAGCGGTTCGACTGTTTACGTCACTGTCGGAGGCGTCGTTGGCTTCATCATCTTCGTTGGCATCATTATCGGCGTCTGCTGGGCTTGCAACAGATCCAACAACCAAGTTAACGTTTTTCGTGCATCCTAACAAGGAACCATCGTGCACATGTGACTAATCCACCGAGCACCTGCTTATTAGAGTCCCTAAGACTCTTATAATTAATTTGACCTTACACGACCTGAACAATATGTTTACGTTACAATAACGTACATAATGAGTGTTCACTTTAAATACATCCCTTTCCTTCTTGTAATTGTATTCGCTAAAAGTTATGCATTGTTATACATTCTCCCTTGATATATTTTCAACAAGGCCTGTAAAACATACAATTTTGTGTTATTTTTTATGAGGCATTTTGGAATGATGTATCCTAATGCATGGTATTTTGTAGGTTAATATTGAATATCTCAGACTACACTCTGACTGCTTGCTTGATACAAAAGATATTTCTTCATGAGACATATGCTATACGTGGGAGTACATTTTCATAGTGAAGTACATATTCTAGTATCTGTGTTGAGTGGAATACCAACCGGGATTCGAACGCCCAATCTTAGAGGAAGACACCTGATCTCCAACACACAGAGTTTAACGCTCTCTCATGATCCAGATGGTACACACGATCCAGATGGTATCTTGTTCCAGGTGATCCCAACGGCCCTGACGGTACGCACGATCCAGATGGTACACATGACTCAGATGGTGTACATGACCCAGATGGCACACATGACCCCAATGGTACACATGACCCTGGTGGTACACATGACCCAGATGGTACACATGACTCAAATGGTGCACATGTCCCAGATGGTACACACGACCCAGATAGTGTAAACGACCCAGATGGTACGCATGGCTCAGATTGTTTACTAGACCCAGATGGTACACATGATCAGGTGTAACACATGACTGAGATGGTGTACACGACCCAGATGGTACAAATGACCCAGATGGTACACATGGCTAAGATTGTTTACTTGACCAAGATGGTACACATGACCCAGATGGTACGCATAACCAAGATGGTGTACACGACCCAGATGGTACACATGACCCAGATGGTTCATATGACCCAGATGGTACACATGTCTCAGAGTGTGTACATGAACCAGATGGTACAAATGACACAGATGGTACACATGGCTCAGATGGTACACATGAACAAGATGGTACACATGACACAGATTGTATACATGAACCAGATGGTACACATGACTCAGATGGTGCACATGAACCAGATTGTACACATGGGCCAGATGGCACACATGACCCGAATGGTACACATGACCCTGGTGGTACACATGACCCAGATGGTAAACATGACTCAAATGGTGCACATGTCCCAGATGGTACACACGACCCAGATAGTGTAAACGACCCAGATGGTACGCATGGCTCAGATTGTTTACTAGACCCAGATGGTACACATGATCCAGGTGTAACACATGACTGAGATGGTGTACACGACCCAGATGGTACAAATGACCCAGATGGTACACATGGCTCTGATTGTTTACTTGACCAAGATGGTACAAATGACCCAGATGGTACGCATAACCAAGATGGTGTACACGACCCAGATGGTACACATGACCCAGATGGTTCAAATGACCCAGATGGTACACATGACTCAGAGTGTGTACATGAACCAGATGGTACAAATGACACAGATGGTACACATGGCTCAGATGGTACACATGAACAAGATGGTACACATGACACAGATTGTATACATGAACCAGATGGTACAAATGACTCAGATTGTGCACATGAACCAGATGGTACACATGGGCCAGATGGTACACATTGCTCAGATGGTGCACATGACTTAGATTGTGTACATGAACGAGATGGTACACATGGGCCAGATGGTACACATGTCTCATATAGTGCACACGTCTCAGATGGTACACACGACCCAGATGGTACACATGGCTCAGATGGTACACATGAACCAGATGGTACACATGACACAGATTGTATACATGAACCAGATGGTAAACATGACTCAGATGGTGCACATGAACCAGATGGTACACATTGGCCAGATGGTACACATGACTGAGATGGTGTACATGAACGAGATGGTACACATGGGCCAGATGGTACACATGACTCAGATGGTACACATGACCCAGATGGTACACATGTCTCATATAGTGCACACGTTTCAGATGGTACACACGACCCAGATGGTACACATGGCTCAGATTGTTAACATGACCCAGATGGTACACACGACCCAGGTGTAACACATGGCTGAGATGGTGTACACGACCCAGATTGTACAATGACCCAGATGGTACACATGGCTCAGATGTAATACATGACTGAGATAGTGTATGCCCCGGATGGTACACATGAAGCAGGTGTAACACATGACTGAGATGGTGTACACGACCCAGATGGTACAATGACCCAGATTGTACACATGGCTCAGATGGTTCACATGATCCAGATGGTACACACGATCCAGATGGTGTACATGACCAAGATGGTACACATGGCTAAGATTGTTTACATGACCCAGATGGTACACATGACCCAGGTGTTACACATGACTGAGATGGTGTACACGACCCAGATGGTACAAATGACCTAGATGGCACACATGGCTCAGATGGTACACATGACCCAGATGGTGCACATGACTCAAATGGTGTGCATGACCCAGATGGTACACATGGCTAAGATTGTTTACATGACCCAGATGGTACAAATGACCCAGATGGTACACATGGCTCAGATGGTACACATGACCCAGATGGTGCACTTGACTCAGATGGTGTTCCTGACCCAGATGGTAAATACGATCCAGGTTGTGTACCTGGTTCAGACTCGATTATTTTCAGACCGCCGTCATGTGGATCAAATGCTGCTCAGCTCGGTATTACACAATTAACAAACAAATTATGTGATAGAAGGAACATTTCATGTCACCTTGAAGCATATATTCAGTCCGAAATGTAAATTATAATTCTTGTGCTAATGTTGTGGTATTGAGTATATATAAATAACCATGACACTTTTAAAGTAGTTGTAACAGGAAAAACCTAGTTTTGATGTTGTGCCAGACACGTGTGCCTTGTGTACTGCGTGTCTTGGATACCTGTTATCAACGAAATCAACGAAACGTGAATCTGCCTATCTTTGACGGGACATTTTTCCCATGTGCAGGTGAAGCTGGTACCTGTCATGTCAGACTGTTAAACTCTACAGTTATGGAAACTCTAAACTTTGGATTGTTCCTTGTCTTATTTGTGCCAGGTACGTTTTAATTTGGAGAATGTCTGAAAACATTTACTTTTTACGTAAATTACGTAAATCTTACAAATTAACTCATATATCATCATGATGACTGACTATTGTGAAGTGAAATGGTATAAGTGCGAATACATGATCAGCTGCTTACTTGGTTTCTCTGTGTCTTTGAGTCTCTCTGTGTCTCTGAGTCTCGCTGTGTCTCTGAGTCTCTTTGTGTCTCTGATTCTCTCTGTGTCTCTGAGTCTCTCTGTGTCTCTGATTCTCTCTGTCTCTGAGTCTCTCTGTGTCTCTGATTCTCTCTGTCTCTGATTCTCTCTGTCTATGAGTCTCTCTGTTTGTATGATTCTCTCTGTGTCTATGATTCTCTCTGTGTCTATGATTCTCCCTGTGACTCTGAGTCTCTCTGTGTCTATGAGTCTCTCTGTGTCTCCAAGTTTCTCTGTGTCTTTGAGTGTCTCCGAGTTTCTCTGCGACTCTTTATGTCTCTCAGTCTGTCTGTGTCTCTGAATCTCTCTGTGTCTCTGAGTCTCTCTGAGTCTCTGTGTCTATGAGTCTCTCTGTGTCTATGTTTCTCTCTGTGTCTCTAAGTCTCTCTGTGTCTCTGAGTCTCTCTGTGTATTTGAGTCTCTCTGTGTCTATGAGTCTCTCTGTGTCTCTAAGTCTCTCTGTGTCTATGAGTCTTTCTCTGTCTCTGAATCTCTCTGTGTCTCTGAGTCTCTCTGTGTCTCTAAGTCTCTCTGTGTCTATGATTCTCTCTGTGTCTCTGAATCTCTCTGTGTCTATGAGTCTTTCTCTGTCTATGAGTCTCTCTGTGTCTATGATTCTCTCTGTGTCTCTGAATCTCTCTGTGTCTATGATTCTCTCTGTGTTTCTGAATCTCTCTGTGTCTCTGAGTCTCTCTGTGTCTCTCTGTGTCTATGATTCTCTCTGTGTCTCTGAATCTCTCTGTGTCTATGAGTCTTTCTCTGTCTATGAGTCTCTCTGTGTCTATGATTCTCTCTGTGTCTCTGAATCTCTCTGTGTCTATGATTCTCTCTGTGTCTCTGAATCTCTCTGTGTCTATGAGTCTCTCTGTGTCTCTAAGTCTCTCTGTGTCTATGATTCTCTCTGTGTCTCTGAATCTCTCTGTGTCTATGAGTCTTTCTCTGTCTATGAGTCTCTCTGTGTCTATGATTCTCTCTGTGTCTCTAAGTCTCTAAGTGTGCAGAGAATCCTGATGTTTTGGCGCTGATAAAACTCTACAAATCTATTAATCCCATTATTGTTCATTATTCCAATATACAGCTTCGGTATTTCTGTAGGTACAGCCGGGTTCATCAGCTGCACCGGGACGTATTGGGATTCCTTGGACTGGCGTTGGAAATTTACGACATACTACTGTCACGGTACCTGCTGTGGCACCTATGAGGACAAATGTTGTTTGTCCAGTTCATCTATATTGGAAGTAAAGCATGTGTGAGTGACGTTTTCATATATATTCGAAGTATTTGACGTGACGCCGCTTTGGAGATAATCACATCACGTCAGCGCAATGTCGGTGTAAGTCTGAACTGATACTGAACCTTGATATTTAAAACCTGAAAACATCGAACCTATATTTTGTTCTGATAAACCTGGACACATAATAACCTAATAACATAATAACTATGTCTAATGAAACGTGTACAGTGTTATGATATACCTAGTAACTTTGTCAGATTATCGCTGGCACAGAAAGGATATTTGGATGATATTTAGATCCGTTACGTTTTGAAAAATATAAGAATTGATTAATCACACAGGAGGTAAGCCCTGTCTATGCTCAACCGGAAGTAGGTCGTCATCAACTACCATTTCCTCGATAGACATTCGAACTTCGTAAGATTTTGATATTTCCAAGTAGTAAATGATTATGAAATCGACTTGTCTTATAAGTTGAATGGTCATGGATTATAACCCCTATTATTTGGTCATGACACATTATATTTTGTTTACATTTGAAGCATTTCTTGACAGTACATAATAAAACTTAAAACCAAAACATTTGAAAATATAATTCCCTTAGAATTACAAAAATGTGCCATTCAGCTTATAAGACAAGTCGATTTCATAAACATTTACTACTTGGAAATATCAAAATCTTACAAAGTTTGGGGGTCACTCTCTACCGGGATCGACTGTCCATCAGGGAAATGGTACTTGATGACGACCAACTTCCGTTTGAGCATAGACAGGGCTTACCCCCTGTGAATCAGTTGGTAGACTGAAATCTCGTAGGAAAGTATATAAGAACGATTGTGGCGGATGGACAACTTTTTATTGTAAAAGATGCGACATTCCGGTGTAGATGCAATCCGTTATCAAGCAAGTATGTTAGCATCTACAAAGAAGCGACACATCTATTGAAATAAGAAGTTGTATATCCATATTCAGAATTGTTCCTTTTCATCATACCAGTTGTTAAATTCCACTTAAAGAAACCGGAAGTACTATTGAATATGCAGAGATTACCTAATACTATCACCGATACCAATTGATTGAAAGGACAAGTATGTACATCTTGACATTATATATGACTATAATATGTATGTTGTAGAGTGGGAAAATGGAGGTAATAATAAAATCACCGATTTGCCTCCATTCACAGACTGACTCAGTGAAGGTATTGACTGAAATAAGAAGTGGAATGTAGTGTTTTGACTTAACAGAGACTTAACATAGACTGAGCATAGATTGAGAAATTGTTTCATAGGGTCGTGTCTGTTTTTCTCCCCAGTTCCACCCCCTATATCTGGATCGGTGTCGGTGTGACGGGAGGCCTGGTCGTATTTTGTGCCATCATCGGAGTGGCCTCTTACTTCTTATGTAAAACAACAAACCGAGGATCTCGGTCAGGGTCCGTGCACCCAAGTCCGAACCCAAACACACAGACCACCAGCTTCGGTAGGCAACATCCCACAGTCATATAGCGACGTGCGTCCATGTAGGGACCAGTCACCTTGGTCAGTTGCTATAGAAACAGGCTCTTCTGGTTTGTACCCTCATTCGTGGGGATGTAGTCAAAATAGTCGCTCAGGCCCACTAGTGGCCTTTTCACTCACCATTTTGCTCACGTTTGCGAGCATCTTGTATCATTGCTAGTGATCCCAGGCATATGCGGAGGGAAGGGGGAGGGGAGCAGGGGGTTTGTTTGTTAGCCTCGTGGTTAAAGCGTCTGCTCGCCACGCATAAGACCCGGGTTCGATTGCCTACATGAGTACAATGTGTGAAGCCCATTCCTGGTGTTCCCCGCAGTGATACTACTGGACTGTCGCGCCGTAACGCCATTCCCGTTCGCTCATAACCACATGCGCATGGTAAAATCGGAATCGTACAACCGCCTGTGCTTTCAGCAGAAATGCGTTAAATCGTTAACTTTTTGTTTACTTCTATCGAGTTGCATCAGAGCATAAACAATGAGTTTTCATTGATATAATTCCATTCCATTATGAAAGATACTATCCCAAAAATAGAAACGCATAGGCGTTTTGTATTTAAAAAAACAATCTATTAATTACCTTTTGTGTTAACGTTCAAACAATCGTCAAAATATGTAACAGAAGTGTTGATAACATGATTTTACACAATTGCACAAGTAACAACTCGACTTTACCTGAAAATGTTGATTTTGATGAGATTTCTTACAAGGATTAAAAAGGCATCGCCACAACGCAACAGAAATCACCTTCTAGTTGAAATTGTGCGGTAAGAGCATGCACTGTCTGGCTATAAAAATCCAAATTACTTTCGGAAATCGGCAATCCTTTTGAAGGAGTTTCAAGGTCAAATCTCTACGCCACGTCTTGACTCTGCGACACGGAACATCACTATTGAAAGAATTCACGCTGGAGATTAACAATCTTCTGCTGCCAGGCGTCTGAATGTAAGTCTGAGCACGATATCACGGCTTGCAGCTCGTTACAACCAAACAGGTATAACAAAAGACCGTCCCCGTACAGGCAGACATCGAGTCGCCACTGCAGCCCAAGATCGGTACATCCGGGTACTACATTTGCGTGATCGTACTGCCACGGGTGAGAGCACAGCAGCCAGGGTGCCTGGACTTCGGATGATATCCGATGAAAAAGTAAGCAACAGGTTGAGAGAGTTTGGACTGAGAGCCAAGAGACCCGACATCGGGACCGTGCTACGTCGTCACCATCGCACTCAGCGTCTTCGTTATCGCTTGGTTGTATAGACATTTCCTTCTTCTAAACTGATGTAAAAATTCATGTACTAAAGTCTATTTGTGGACGAGTTATACATGTTTGAAAATATAACATTTTCGCAACAGATTTCTGGCCTATGCATTTCTTTTGGGGAATAGCATATAATAACGTGTAAGTTTAGAAGAGGATTAGCATCCATGTCTTTACAAATATCACGCGCAATGTAGTTAGTTGCGTACTGGTTTCCACAAAGCAAATATCAGTGTTGACGTAATATAAACATAACTGTTGGCGTACAATAGTAATTACGTCACTGTCGAGCGGACAACGTCTGTACACGGTTTAGAAACTGCAGCCAGCAACCCCTTCGCCATAGCTAACAATCAGCCTTCCCCAAACGAAGCTTATCGTACTGGGTGAGTGAGTGAGAGAGTGAGTATGGTTTTACGCCGCTTTTAGTATTATTCCAGCAATATCTCTGCGGGGAACACCAGAAATGGGTTTCACACATTGTACCCATGCGTGGAGTCGAACCCGTGTCTTCAGTGTGACGAGCGAACGCTTTAACCACTGGGCTACCCTATCGTGCTGATATACAAAATGTGGTGTCAAAGCTATTTCCCCTGCCTCCTGTCTAAAATACACCCCTCAACGCTCCATGAGTACAAGCAGGACGAGACACCTGTATGGTTTTGTATGTTACTGATGTATTATCATATAAGTTGCACTTTTAATTTGGACCGGTGTAATGCATTCTGTACTATGCCTGCAGGGCCCGGCATCGTGCAGCCGCCCCCTACACAACAGCGCCACCGCCACCGCCAGCGTATTATCCTCCCGTGAGTACGACAGACCCATCTGACAAATGGGGACATCACCCGACCCCGGGGCCACGGCCCATAGAACCGGTATCTGAAGGCACCGTCGTCTCTTCCGGAAGCGGACCACCGGAAGCTGTAACAAGTGCCGCACCGAGGTCTACCGTTGCTTGAACCACGGCTGATAACACCGAGAAAGACATGCTACACTAGTACTAATTTTAGTACTACTACTACTACTACTATTACTACTAACTATTACTATTACTACTACTACTACTACTACTACTACTACTACTACTACTACAAACAAAACAAAACTACATTGCACAGAAGTGAATGGGTACCCGTAAGGATGACATGCAACGTAACTAAAACCACCCAGGCACCCTATTGCTAAACGGATACCAGCCACGGCTTGAACTGTGTTTGGGATGGCAATAGGATAATGGTTGAGGTAGTTGTAGTATATTCTTAGTACAAACACCTTCCATGCAGAGAATGGCACAGCGAGGTGTGCGAGAAGCACGAGCACAAGATTCATTCACCTGTGCTGTGCCGTCTCCATCCTTTCTCGCACACCTGGCTGTTCCAGTCTTTGCAGTGTTTGCACTCCTCCCTCGTAACAAATAGTGAACTGTGTCAATATTTTAATGATAGTTTGTTAAACAACTTTTATATTATTTGGACATAAATTCTGCAAAAACTCACGGAATTGGTCTGATGTTTTGATTATGATCAGCGTTTCATTGAGTATTATATGTTTATTAGTTTTCGAGTCAGACTGCAATTCATCGGTCCGCTTTTGAGCCAAACGGACTATAGACGCGGCGTAAAACTGAACTCGACCAACCACAGGTTCGATTGTTCACATGGGTAATAAGTAAAGTGTCATATCATGTCTTCATTATTATCTACTTTATAATATTAATATGTAAATGCACATTAACATGTTTGTCTCCATGTTTAATATACCATGTAGGCTATATTCTCCTGTCTGCACCATAACCCTAACCAAAGATAAGCAAAAGAACCAAAATCTAAGTTAAAGAAAACCCTTTTTAATGCACAACTGCTTTCCCTTTCGTTATATGTTCTGACATAAATGTTTCGCCAGTTATGAGTATAGTATAGTGTTCAAGAATCCGCACAGGGAGGCTAGCATGACGTTTTACTTGTTGTATGTTTCTGTTCCCTTCAAAGTCAGCTGTCCCGGAGGTTGTTGCTTTGTTTATAGTCCTTTCTTAAAGATATATCTAATAAAATCGTATTTTACGAAATTTACCGAATTTGGGTCTTGTACCATCATACATGATTCTCCTTGTTTATAACTTTGAGTGAGTGAGTGTGTTGGGTATAATAGAGCTTCCTAGAGCTCCGTTCCACAAAGCGAGCCCCCACAAATCGCCACGACTGTCTGGGCCTCCGGTTGTCAGGTTGACGACGGTGGAAATCCTTGAGCCATACAGTTGTCAAATAATTACCCACAGGTACGAGTGGATGGAGGAAGAAATATGATCATAGAGAAAAGGGATTCAAACCCATGATCTTTGGCTGTGGCTTCTGGCACTCCCAAGAGACGTGAACAACTCGTTTGGGCAATGCCATGTAGCCCAAAAATCGTCCATTCAAGAATCATTGGAAAACTACAATTATTGAACACAAAACGTTACAAGGAGACACTTGGAGATAAAAACAACGCTATTACACAAACTATTTCGACAGAATACATAAAATGGGACAAAATTCGGACATTTAATCGCCAGTTTGACGTTTGAATTAAATGCAGTAACAAAAACATCACTGTGTTCGACAAGGGATTTATAGCTTCACTGTAACATCTGGGGTTGTCTTTTCTGAATTATGTCCTACAAACATGAACCAATGGTCCTACCAGCGGTAATACACCTCACGGACTACTTTTATGAATGTGCAAGTTTCAAATGAACCTGTGTGTGTGGCAACATTTCTTCTCCAGACCTACACAAACATTTAGTTTTAACCCACACAGATGCCATGCCCCAGTTTACCAGGTTCACTCCGCACAGACTCGCTGATTCCAATCGCCTAATCCTTGTTGCATACACGCGAGGCATCGGTCCGCAAACTCGCCACCTTCCACGACCCGGAAAGACGATTTGCTCACAAGACCGAGAGGCAGTCCGATGATTCGGAGATATAACTGAACATGTCCCGTACGACTTCTGTAGAATACTATTATATTCATGTCACAGAATAGACACGCAGCAGGAGATATAACAACATTGCGTGCTCGTGGGTATAGCACAAAGGTGTACAACGTGCAGTTGTTACTACCTCGTGGGCATTCAAGGGTAAAACATATGATATATGAGAACTCCAGGATTCTCTAAGCACCTGTCGTGCCTAAGATATGACGAACAGATTGCATTTCAAGATTTAGAAGTCACAGAACTAAACATTTCGCGCGTATTTATTAGCGGTGTCACACGAGTTAACGACCAGCTTCTAGAATTCGGATCACAATCAACTCAAACACTGGACATGTTAGATTCTGGTTATATGTACCATTTTCACTGCGTTTCCTCCTCGAATTATATTCTCAACTCCCCGGGGACCATACCACACACAGTGCCTGTAATGCGCACGACGGTTAACATGTCATTACAATCTCCTTCTGGTTGCCAATTTACTGCAGCAACAACAGAAGCATATTTAGTCACTTGCCAAGTGGCACCACATGTGTCAAAATGTCCTATACATTCGTCCTGCACTGACGCCTTACTTGACACATCTATTTGTACTCTGAATCTTGTGGTTCCTTTCAATCACTGTATACATAAACATATAACGCTGCTGATGTATGGTCAATCTGATTCCAACCTAGGATTTCTTGGAAAACACGCCAAAGATCCAGAAAAAACAAAGTACACGTTGGAATGTGTGACATCAACGACAGCATCACACGGGCGCCAGATTGCGTGTACCGGTTTGACAAAGGGAGGCTACTCTGATTATGTCAGGTCCCACATCTTTTCCATGATGGCGTCTGTAGAGAAAAATATATATTATAGATGCCAGTTGATTGTAAAACAGACATTAATGAGTATTCATCTAAGAGATTTTGTAAATCGTAATATACTCCTAATCAAAGGAATGTTGATCTTGGCAGCAAAAGGATGCCATAGTCATTGTACCATCCAACTGTCACAGCCATTTTGCATCGTTGAAGATTCGGGTTAGAATTGATCTGCAGTAACCCATGCTGGTCGTTAGAGGCGACTAACGGGATCGAGAGGTCAGGTTCGCTGACTTGGTTGACACATGTCATCGCATCCCATTTGTGTTGATGGATGCTCATGATGTTGATCAGTGGATTGTTTGGTCCAGACTCGATTACTTACAGACCGCCGCCATATAGCTGGAATACTGCTGAGTGTGGCGTAAAACTACAACCATCCAACCAAGCTAATTTACACCCATGAACTTGATGCTCATATTTACAAAACCCCGGCAGAAGGAAACATAACGAAAAGATAGCAGGTATAATAGCATACTTTACAAATTGTTCTCCTTATAAGAGATCAAAAGTTACATATTTATTAGATACTGTTTAATAACATTATGTGTTGATGAGACCATTTTTTTTATTTCACCTTGTCCTTCGAAAGTAAATACGCAAAATATATCTAAAATGCCATATCATTTTTTATTTTATGTGTGTACAAATATGCATGAAGAAATAAATACTGGATACCTAATGAATCGCTGTGAATCATTGTCCAGTCGATGTTTTCTGGAAACAGGTGATCATGCCAGACACTTCAGGCAGTACCATAGATGTGTGTATTCCAAGGCAGCTAGATATGCGCTCCTAAAAGATTTAATGAACTATCAGTTGTATTTCTTCACACAGTTTTACATACTTCATGGACATGGAGAGTGCAGCGTCTCGCACATTGTAACGTGTACCTTGCGATATTTGGCACTTGGGGCATCTCACGAACAGGGGCAAACTGGAAGTCAGAAAGCAGAATTAATTTCAAAGTGGTCTACTTTCTTGTTTAATAGTACACAATGAACATTGCTTAAAAAAGGAGAGTGAATGAATTACTTGGGTTTCACCCCACAATACTGAATCAATGTCATGGCTTGTAACACCAGTATTGGCCTTTTACATATTGCACAAATGTGGGGAAACACACCTCGGTCTTTGGCCTGACGAGCGAAGGCTCTAACCACGAGGCTACCAAACCGCCCTCACGGAAAGTCCAAATATTATTGAGTTATAAAGCGGATACCTTACGTATCGGTGTAGATCACTGATGACACCAGGTGTTCTCGAAACGGACCATCATGCCATAATCTGCCAGAACCTGCCAGTTGTTTCCAGGTGTGTCATTTTCGTCACTGATGCATCAAATTTGGAAACTTTTTTACCAGCTTTACTAATGTCTTTAATGCAAAAATGTTGTAATTAACTTGTAAAATTCTTGCTCGAACAACAACTGAGCAGGATTCGACAGGATTAGTACCAGAATCTGTCCTTTACTACGTGAGTGAGTGAGTGAGCATGGTTTTACGCCGCTTTTAGAAATATACCAGCAATATCACAGCGGGGGACACCAGAAATGGGCTTCACACATTGTACCCATGTAGGGAATCTAACCCGGGTCCATTAGGCTACCCCACCGCCCCCTTTACTAAGAAAGCGTGAACCCAAATAATACGGTGATCTTACATTTGTGCCAAATTGAGTTTTTCTTGAGTATCCCTACCGGATTATTTTAAATCTGCAGTTTGCTAGAACCATTCTTGTATATTACGCTTTTGTCTGGAGTTTAGACAGCTCCTCTACACATCTTGACTAATGTTCAGTTTACCCGAAGAAAGAGCAGGTAGAGATTCTGGACACTGCTACAATGTGTCAAGCTATTATTTTTTATGAGACACTCACTAACCCGACCACACTCCCTGTTTTCCATAGTAAGCATAAAGAATTTCTAAAAGCTGCGTTCGAACTATACATACTTTTTACCTCTTCGATGGTTTGTAAAACATGTGTTCGAAGAATACTTTAACTCTTTGATTAGGACTTTTGAATTTCAAGAGGAACTGAGTTGGCAAGATATTTTTTCAGTTGTTTTGTCGGGTTACTGTTACCATAGTTTCAATATAATCAGTTATCAGTATAGCACCTTTAAAAATATATTTTGTCAAAAGAAACCTCCATGGCTCTTTTGTACGTCAAGGATATCTGTATACCTATTTTACAAATGAACGGGTGAGCCTCTTTCAATCACGATAATTCGTGTATATCACCCTGGATAATAAGCTGACAGACACCCATTTGACAGACACCCAATTGACAGACACTGAACTAGAAGGTTAATTAGGGTAACACCTATGGGCATAATGGAACAGTCCACTGTCTTGTGAGTAGAGTAGGGTGAGCCTGAAACAGGTTCGTTACTGAGAAGTTTGATTGTGGGTAAATAGAACTTTGTTGTGATTAAATGATAAATGATTTCTCTTCTCAAAATTGATTTACTATCAATTACTGTCGAATATAAAACAGGTTTGTCACAGAGAGGTTTGATTGTGTTTATTGATAGAAAAGACCCCTCCCAATAATAGCATATGTACAACAGACGTTAACTGAGAAAAAGTTTTGTTGGGGAGATGTAGATGCGTGTATGTACATAATTGAAAACATTCTGATTTGCAGTAAATAAGACACCTGCATTGCCATGTAAGATACGATTAATACGAATCAGTGTTCTAATTTTAACAATACTTTCTAAAGATTGTAACAGTTATTGGAAATTAAAGGAAGTAATGAAAAACATGGCCACAGTCACATGATGCGTCATATTTTAAATGTTTATTCTAAATAAATCGTGCACTCGTCATATATCTTAATATTGTCTGCCAAACATATAACTTCTTTATTCGATATGAATAATATTTAGGTTCACATTTGTCTTTATTTGATTTACATGATACAACAGTGTCGCAATTTGTAATAGCTAAGCTAATGCCGACTCCCCTTAGACTAGAAGGTTAAACCGAAATGTTTATGACAATACACTTTTTATATATAGCAGCAATAAAAATTCAAATTCTTTTCGTCCATCTTTCAAAATAAATAATATAGCTTCAGTTTGTACCTGTGTTTTTACTTGGACTATTCCATTATAATGTGTAGGTAACAGGTAGTAGATAATCTGTTCACTGAACCGTAAATGTTGTTGTTTTAAGGTGTCTGCGAACTGGCTGTCTGCGTAATGGGAGGACACCTGTGGTATCGTTTAACGAATTTACTACTTCCTGTCATTAGATATGTCTCTCCCTCATAATGGCTTACAATCAAAGTGACATTTAGACCTTGGCTAGTAAGTCCAGATATCACACAGACACAGAGTAGTCACGATGGACAGAGCTAAGCTTCACGCTGTAGCTGCAGTTTTATACCTGATGATGATAGTGAAGCTTCATGCCGTAGAGGATAAAGAAAACGACACATATACGTGTATTCTGAAGTAAAAGGAGAACGCTAAACGCGTTCGGTCGGAAGTGATAAATGAGTTGAAGGAAGAGATAAAAGAGGAATTCAAGAATGAGTTCAAACAACTTGAGCTCCCCAAGAAGGAGATTCTTCTGGAGAGGGCACGCCAGCGGGTGATGGAGGAGAAGGTTGATGTGTCCTATGTGGGAGTTCAGAAACTCGAGGCTGCTCTCTCACAATGCGCTGTGATTTCAACAATCCCCATCACAGCCGCAAACACAACAACCTCCACCACCACCGCCACCACCACCACTATGACGACTACAGAAAATCCAAGTAAAGTATATTTTGTGTGTTCAGCATTTAAACATGTCATCGAAATGATCATATGTACAATAAGATGTTCGTGTTTAAACAAATAGGTAGAAAGTTACAGTGAACATTTGATCCTTGTAAACCTGGATCTATTACATCGTATGAGAACAGCAGATGGTATATTTTGTTATGTATTATTATATCTGGAAAGGCTTCATTTGTGCTTGACATATACCACTGCGAATGCAAAGAGCATCACGGTTGATGAACTGGAATTGCGATCCTGTTGATACTGAGCTATGTATGCATCACTGTGCGATTAACACGACATGCGATTATATACTAGGCACATAAAGAAACTGTGCATACAAATAATTAAAATCTAAATTCATCAAACCTGTGTAGACACATAAAGATTTAAATTCAGAGATTAGTGACATGTATCCAACATGCATTCACGTGCCACGTTCCGTGACGTCAGTGGGTTCGTCCTTGAGACGTGCAATACGTTATTTGCACGTGCATTCCGGGAAAGAGAAACAGAGCAAATGAATGCCACACAATACTGTCACTTTGTAAGGCTCAACCCCTTCCCTTGCGATCGTTAAAAAAATTAAACGGCTACTGAAACGCATAGCATGCCAAAGCTCACGTCTGCACAACGTCATTAGTCCATTTGGATGGTCCGTAGGGGAAGGTCTCAACGACAAGTGGCTGCACATTTCCACTGACACCGGAACACCATTTCTGCACTGGTGAGACGCTACCAGAACACAAATGACGTCATCGATCGGCCACGTTCTGGACGTCCACGTGTAACAACGCCAAGACAGGACAGATTTGGTGTAGAATAACAGCACACCAAAGAACTCCTTTGGTGATTGTTCAGGGCAACTTAACTGGTGTGGGCTACAGGGATCAGATTCTTCGACCTGTGGCAATTCCTTTTCTGCAACGTCATGGCCCGGGGTTAACCTTCCAACAGGACAATGCCCGCCCTCATACGGCAAGGGTTGCTATGGTTTTCTTGCAACACCACAACGTTGACTTACTGCCTTGTCCTGCAAATTCACCGGATGTCTTCCCGATAGAGCATGTTTGGGACGAGATGGATCGACGTCTACGCCGTCTTCCTCATCCGCCAGATAAATCTGGCGGGACCTCCCACAAGCCTTCCTCGCACGTTTGATAGGCTCTATGCGTCGGCGATGCACTGCTGTTCTCAATGCCGATGGTGGACATACCCGTTATTGAGCTTGTGACATGGTCGTTTGACCCCTGTCCCGCTTGTGGACTCGTGACGTCATTGTGATTGACTTTTCAATTGAAATTCTCCCGACTTGTTATGGTCTCATGATCCCTCCATTAAAGTTTATATGAACCTTTGACATTATTATCTTACTTATCAACTGGGATAATATTTTGACAATGCACAGTTTCTTATGTGGCTAGTATATTTCATTCATTCACATTCTGACCTAATTTTCTACCTTGTAGCTCCTCCATGTGCTCTCTCCAAAAATAATTATCTGTTTTGTTGCCACAAAGTGAATGCAATTGCTGTGTGAATCTTCACATAAACGTTGTTTCATTTTGTAGAGGTGTGTGCTGCTGGCTTTATAAAATTTGAAGACCACTGTTACATACTGGAGCTGGACAAAACCAGTTGGGGTACTGCAAGAAGTAGATGCCGTGAGCTTGGTGCTGATCTCGTCTCTATCAATACGGAAGCTGAGAACGACTTTCTGCTGGAGAAAGTAAAGGAATGTAAGTACGGACGTCAAATCCAATGCAATAGAGGATGCATTTCGTTTGTTCTGTATGGCAAAAATACGTCTACGTATCATTGTTTTACCGACAAAACCCGCTACAACAGTTCGACCCATTAGCCCCTTTTTGATGGATTTTGACAAAAGAGGAGAAATTTGAAAATAAAAAGCCACAAAACCTTTGTAATCCTTTGCCATTTTTCTGATACCAAGAAGGCGCCATTTGTCAGGGGTGCCACATTCGTGTACGTTAAGGTAAAACCTTAACGTGATCGCTATGATGTGATCTGGGGTTTGAATGTCCCAGTACAGTTCCTGAAAAAGAAGAACCACAATATGAACCCAAATCTGCAATAATGAAACTTTAAGACATTCTCGTTTGAAGAGCTGATACATTGATGAAACAAACATGAACATATTTGTTAAATATGATATATTGTGATCATTTAAGTGTAATTTCAGACTTCCCGCCTAGCCAGCAGAATTCTGAATATTTCTGGATGGGGATGTTGTATGCAAGCAGAAAATACGTGTGGGCTGACGGCACAGATGTTGGCTTCACTGACTTCCAGTCAGGGGAACCGAACTGTATGAAAGATGGCACATGTAAAGCATTTATTACTACGTACAGGTCATCTTACGAGTGGGAGGATGCACAAAGTACCTATGACTTCTTCTACATATGCGAGAAAGATGCGTTTTAGGGACAAGATTACTCCCTCAAAAGGGCGAATTGGTCTATAAAGCCAAAAGAAATAAACTAATTTGATAACCGTATTCCTTTTTCTCTGTCCGTATTACTTCTTTAGATAATATACTCAGCAGCTCTAGTGCATTAGCACTATATTGTAATCTGTAAGTTAAAACGTACGGAGTTACGTCCCTTTATCCATCTATGGAGACGTATAGAGTTACGTCCCTTAGTTCACTCTTGCTCCTGTGACCGCGTCTCTCGAGCTGCGTGCGTTGTGTACGGTCCTGAATAAAATCGTTTGAGAACACATTCGGTGTCCTATGGATGAGAGAAGTGCAATACACAAAAGGTGATGTTTCTACCTTAGTGGCGTGGTGGCAGCGGCGACTAGAACCCTCGTTTAACGAATCTAACGAACTTTTACGTCATTTTCAGTGTTGTATCTCTCTCGGGGTCAAACAGGTCAGATCGCAATATTGAATCTGGATAACACCGTTTCACTCCAATTCAAGCAAACATGACTAGTACACAGCGTGCCCCCCAAACAGTGGTCTCTCAGTAGGACTGAAACAATAAATTCCTTTCGAAAACTGGCGACAAAATATATTATACACCTTATCTTTGGACACCAAATTCGCTCCTTACCTTGCCGAAGGTGTGACATGGGAGAAGAAGGGCAGAAATGCACCTTTGAGGGGCTTTGTTAACGACAATGATGATGTCGAAGAGGCAGCTAGACTTACCGCAAGGCAGAAGGTGAACCAGTTGGAGTTAATGCTTGGACAAATTGCAAACTTCTGTCCCATCATTTCCCGCAACACAATAATAAAATCAAGCACCTCGTTGAACTTTATATGGCACGCCATACGTTTACACTTTGGGTTCCATTTCATCGATTTTGTTGATTTCAAGCTTGAGTGTGATGAAAGACCCGAAGATTTGTACCAACGTTTAATGGCGTTTGCAGAAGACTACTTGTTAAAGCACGAAGGTGGCATCACTCACCATGGACAGCTCCCCGATGAAGATGAAGAATTGTCCCCTTGCTTAGAAAATTTTATCATTCTAACATGGCTGAGACTTATTTACCAAGATCTACCAAAATTTGTAAAGCAAAGATACGCAACTGATCTTCGTACAAGAACCATCTCCTCTTTGAAACCGGAGATATCTCAAGCCCTTGACGCTCTCCTTGTGGAGATTCGCACTTCGGAGGGTGCAAAAATCATGCGCTCCGAACCAACTACACGTCAGCACCTAGTGAACAGACAGAAGCAAAAAAAACCTGTGCCCAATTTGTTTGGCAGCAGGTCGTCCTAAGAAAGCTCACTTCCTTAGCCACTGCAGATTTCTTCCTGAATAGGACAAGAAGTACATGGTTAAAGCAAGACAGATTGCCAACATACTTGACGAAGATGAGGTAGAAGACCGATGTGATGAGACAGAAAGTGCGTGTAGAAATATATCATTTTCCACCAAGCGTGTGCAGGTACGTCAATCCCCATACATGACTACCTTCAGTGAATATAAGACTGTATGCCTTACACTTGCGGGTGGTGCAGAGGGTAATATGATGCGATTATCTACAGCAACTGACCTTGGCGTGGACATCAAGCCCAGCACACAGTCCGCTCACCAAGCAGATGGTATTTCGCCAATGAAGGTTGTTGGTGAAGTTGACATTAACCTCAGTCAAGATGGTAGAGATTTCTCTTTCACTGGGCTTGTTGTAGAAGACCTTTATGTCGAAGTGTTGGCAGGTATTCCCTTTATGGAGGTCAATGACGTGACTATACGACCTTTCTGATGGAACTATCTATACCTACCCAGCAAAGCGCAATTCTATCCCAAACAAGCCGTCCATCAGACACACATGTATTTTACGAGCCCCAAACCAGAGCACTACCATATGGCCAGGCGATTTCATAGAATTGTGTGTCCCTGAAGACTACTCTAAAGAAGATGGAACTTTCGCTGTTGAACCACTAACTGACACTAGATCCGATCATTCGACATTGTCGCCTGACTGGCCAAAGCTAGATATCATCTCCAGTGTAAATGGAAGAATCAGGGTACCCAACCTGACAGACATTCCACAAGTCCTAAAGAAGCATGAACATTTCTGTCAGGTTCGCACGGTTTAACCACATGACATCACTCCCAACATAGACCCTGTCAATGTCCCAAAGTCTACTCCGACATCCGTCAGTGGCCCACACTCATCACCAGTGTCAGTTGACCCTGACCACATCTTATCTGAAAATTTCAAGTCCATGTTTGAGTCTGTGAATAGGGAATATGATGAAGTCTTTGACCCCAATATCACAGGCTACAATCGAGCATCCGGGCCCTTCCAAGCACAGGTCAACATGGGAAAGGTAAAGCCTCCACAACGCAAGGGTAGAGTTCCCCTGTACAGCAGAGATAAACTGGTTGAGCTACAACAAAAATTTGACGAACTTGAAGATTTGAGCCTATTTGTCCAACCCAAAGATGCCAATTCTCAGATGTAGGCCGTTACGTTACAGTAAACCACAACCCTCTTTGATGCCAGATGTGAACTCTACTCTGAGACAAATAGCCCAGTGGAAATACCTGATAACCACAGATCTGAGTAGTGCCTTCTACCAGATCCCCTTAGCAAAGGACTCTGTGAAATACTGTGGCGTTCTAACCCCTTTTAAGGCAGTTCGAATATATGCAAGATCAGCAATGGGTATGCCTGGTTCTGAGACAGCTCGTTTCTTCGGTGACTTATTGCAGGAGGGATCCATTGCGAAGTTAACAGATGATCTGTACTGTGGAGCGACAACCCTGACGATTTACTAGTTGTCTGGAAAAAAGTATTACAGGTACTCCAATACAATGGACTCAAGTTATCTGCAAAGAAGACATACATTGCCCCAAGATCAGCCACTATTTTAGGTTGGCATTGGACACAAGGTACCATAAAAGCAAGTCCTCACCGTGTCACCAATCTGGCCACTTGGTCACCGCCAGACACAGTCTTTGGCCGACGGTCGTTCATTGGAGCCTACAAAGTTTTGGCGAGAGTGATCCCTGGTTGTTCAAACCATCTGGCACCTTTAGATGAGGCCATCAGCGGTGGTTCCTCCAAAGACAAACTGACATGGACTGATGCCCTATTGGACGCCTTCAAACAGGCTCAGAAAGGACTTTCAACAACAAAGGCTATAATTTTGCCACGTCCAAATGATCAACTCTGGATCGTAACAGATGGAGCCGTCAAGAAACCAGGCATTGGCGCAACTTTATATGTCACCCGAGACAAAACCCTTCATGTCGCAAAGTTCTTTAGTGCAAAGCTTCGCAAACAACAAGTGAACTGGCTACCATGTGAAGTAGGAGCCCTATCGATAGCCACAGAAACCAAACACTTTAGCCCTTTTATCATTGAGTCAAAACACTAGGCATGCATTCTTACTGACAGTCGTCCATGCGTGCATGCATTTGAAAAACTGTGCCGTGGAGAGTTCTCTGCCAGCCCTCGCATCTCTACATTCTTGTCTACAGTCAGCCATTATCAAGCTACAGTACAGCATTTAGCTGGAGTAGCCAATACACTGCCTCACTTTGCGAGTCGCAAACTTCCTGAGTGCAGCAATCATTCATGTCAAGTTTGCTCATTCATTCAGCAAACTGAAGACTGTGTTGTGAGACAGTTTTCCATATAAGATGTCATACAAGGAAGCTCCAGACTTCCATTCACCAACAGATCAGTGTGGCGCACTGCCCAGGAAGAATGTGCCGACCACAGAAGGACGCGAGCTCATCTACTTCAAGGGGCGAGACCCTAAAAAAAACTCACAAACATCAAGGATGTGAAGAGATTCCTGATACTGTGACTATTGCCAAAGATGGCCTGCTGGTTGTACAACGGTCAGAACCATTATGCCCCATCAAAGAACGTATTGTGGTCCCAAGATCACTGACCCATTGACTGTTGACAGCTCTACACATCAAACTTGACCACCCCACTCCATACCAGATGAAGCAGCTGTGTCAAAGATACCTGTTTGCTCTTGTTCTGGACAAGTGTATCGAAGGAACATGTTCATCCTGCCACCGATGTCAGGCGCTGAAGAATACTCCACGTCATGCAGTTGAACAGACCACCTCTGACCCCCCTGAAGGAGTTGGATATTCGTTCTCTGCTGACGTCATGCGCAGGGAGCGTCAAATGATCCTTGTCGTAAGAGAATGTGTCACCTCTTACACGATGGCTTCAATCATAATAGATGAAAGGGGTCCAACCCTCAGAGACACATTTATCAGTCTTTGCTTTGAGATTTGCCCTCTTGATGGTCCTCCTGCTGTCGTTCGAACAGACCCTACTCCAGGTTTCCTCTCCATTCAGAATGACAAGTCCTCCACAAGAACAGAATCTCGGTTGAGATAGGGAGGGTGAAGAACATCAATAAAAATCCGGTTGCTGAAAAGGCCATCCAGGAACTAGAAGGTGAGATACTGCGTCAAAACCCTGTTCGTGGCCCTGTCTCTACAACTACATTAGCTGTAGCCATGGCTAGATTAAATACCCGCATCCGGTCCAGTGGCATGTCTGCAAGAGAAATGTTGATGCAGCGTGATCAGTTCACCAACAAACAACTCCCATCGCTAGACCGCCAGCTACTTACCAACCAACATGAAAATGGAAGTGCTAACCATGGTCCAAGCGAGCTTTCCAAAGCACCAGGAGGACAACGTTTACCCCCTGCAAATCTTAAGGTGGGCGACATTGTCTATTTACATGGCGACAGGAACAAAACCTGTGCTAGAAACCGGTACATCGTGGTATCCATTGAAGGGAACTGGTGTAACGTCCGCAAGTTTGTTGGGTCCCAACTTCGCAACACATCATATCACGTGAAAATATCAGAGTGTTACAAAGTACCCTCATCCATAGTGCCTGCTGACAACCACAGTGATGACATGAGCGATGACGAAGCACACTATCAACCAGGAACACCAACCTTCAGTACAGTTCAAGGAGATGCATACATTGACCCACTGTGTGCACTCAAGATCCCCGAGGAAATTGCTACACCTCCGCCTGTGGTCCAGATGTGGTCTCACCACAGAGCGACAGTCAGAGAACACTTTCTGATGATCATGTGACTGATAAAATGAATGAGTCTCCAGTTAATATGCCGGAGGTTAATGAACGTCCAAAACGGAAACGACGACCTCCACTGAGACTCGCGGACTATGTCACAGATTTCTAGTTCTACAACAAACCAAGTGTGTTTAAGTGTAAATGTGCATGCAAAAGGCAGAATAATCCCTTTTGAACCTGAGGATGGTCTCCTGAGGATGGTTCATTCACTCAAATTGTTGCTCAGGGTTCAAGTTCATATTATTGACTCCAGTTGAACTATTTAGTGTGTTTTATAATCCTGTCATTCATGACTGTCATTTCCTCTTGTAAATCATGTTGTGTTGAGGTGTATGTGTGCAAAACAAGGGCAGAATAATCCCTTTTGAACCTGAGGGCAGTCTACCTGATGATGGTTCAATCCATTATGTTGTTTCAGATTTCGGGTTCCTGTTAATGACTTATATTTGTCCATTTCAATGGGCTTTACAGTTATACCAATGGGCTTTACAGTATCATCATATGCCGGTTACAAGAGTTTATCGTTCCAGAAATTGATTTTGTTGGGATTGCTTAAATGATTTTCACACGAATTGAGGTTCTGTTCCCTACGATGTGTTTTACTTCTTAAAAAGAAAAGAAAAGGAAGTCATGCCATTAGCACTATATTGTATTCTGTTAGTTAAGACGTACAGAGTTACGTCCCTTAGTTCACACTTGCTCCTGTGACCGCGTCTCGCGAGCGGCGTGCGTTGTGTACGGTCCTGAATAAAATAAAATCGTTTGAGAAGACATTCAGTGTCCTGTGGATGAGAGAAGTGCAATACACAAAAGGTGATGTTCCTACCTTAGTGGCGCAGCAAAAGAAAAACATCAGGACGAATTCAAACTTAGATAGACACTATAGTCAAATAATTACAGAAATGGACATAAGAAGCGGATCAAAAATATTTTTGTGTACAATATCTTGACACATCAATGAATAACTCAGCAAAATTTCAAGACATTGCGTGAACGTTTCATTCAGACACTTGACTTCAGTATCTAGTGTGACCACCAAGAGTGGCAATAACTGCAGCAGAGCGTCTATGCATGGAGTGCAGCAACCGATTGATGAAGGCCATTGGCACCTGGAAGCACACTCTGAGAAAACCATGGCGCAATAAATCGGCTGTGTTCGGCCTTGGTATGACATTATTCAGTCTCCTCTGAACTTCATCCCAAAGAAGTTCAATTGGGTAAAAATCAGGACTAAGGGCTGGCCACTGCATATTTAAACACCGTTCTGCTCTCGGAAGTCCCATGTAGCCCTGGCAGTATGGGCCTGGGCGTTATCATGCTGGAAAATGTTGTTCCGGTGACGTGCCAAATGTGGTACGACGTGGGGTCTGAGAGCTTGGTCGATCTAGCGCACCGCTTTGATGTCGTCTCCTCTCCCTGGACCAAGGTTCTCGAACACCACAGGACCCACACTCTGGTTCAGGCCTATTCATCCCCATACCATAATGCTTGCGCCTCCCCACGAGTCTCTTTCCATGACACATTGGTCTGAGTAACGCTGGCCACGTCGACGCCATATTTTTGTTCTACCTTCTGCAGTTGATACGCAGTACCGACTCTCATCTGTGAACAGAACAGTTCTCGATTGCCTGTATCGCCAGTTTTGGTGTTGTAGGGCAAACTATAGACGTTCACGCTGATGACGAGGGGTGAGGATAGGTCCACGGTAAGGTCTACGCTGTTAAGACGTTGGCGTACTGTATCATTACTGATTGGTCTTCCGTGTGTTCCCACTGTCTGTTTCGGAAGCCTGCATGAAGGGATTCTGTACATGCTGTCGCACAGCATGGCGGTCTTGTCTTGTGGTCACCTTTGGTCTGTTAGTACGGGGGCGATCATTTGTGGTGTTGGTGGCCCGGAAACGTTCCTGCAGACCTGTAGATGGTCCGAACGTTGGCCTGGAAGTGTTTGGCAACGGCTTGTGCAGTGTGGCCAGCTTCAGGTCTTCCTAGCGCCTGGTTCCTCTGAGCTGCCGTGAGTCGCGGCATCCTGCTGACGTTGTAATGTGAATGTTTTAACCAGGTTTGGCTCAAAATCGGACCAATCTCAATCGAAGACTACTAAACATATAATGCTCAATGAAACACTGATAATAATCACAACATCAGACCAACTCTGATTTTTTTTTCAGAATTTATGTCCTGAAAATAAAAATAAAATTTTTCACAAACTCTCATTACAATTTTGACACCGATCACTATTTGTTACGAGGGAGGGCCAACATATTTTTCGCCCATGGGCGAGAATTTTTAATATCGCTCTAAATTAGCTGAATTAAGTCAAAATGAGTTGAATTTTGTTTCATGATACCTATAAGTATACACTCATTCATTTACAACCTCAAAAACAAGGAAAAACATGTATTTAGAGTAAAGTAAATATTCTCGCCAACATATTTTTCGCCCATGGGCGAGACCTTTTTTTCATATCGCACTAAGTTAGTCGAATTAAGTCAAAATGAGTTGAAATTTGTGTCATGATGCTTATAAATATACACTCATTTATTTACAATCTCCAAAACATGAATTCTGAGCAAACTTAAAAAAAATTCATTCAGCCTTGGCATATATTCATAACAACTGCATGTCAAAGCCCTTGTTAGAAAGTGCCCACAGTGCGGAGAAATTCTGGACTTTTGTTAGTCCAGAATTAAATTGTGACGTGTTAATTGCATATTCAGTGATTTGCTAAATATGTCAAGCGATGAAAGGTGGCATCCACGCGTTACAGAGACAATGCTGCCAACACTTCACACAAGAAGAATAGAAACAATACTGGTTCTCCTAACAATGCAGTTTCCTATATTGATTAGATTTATATACATCACTATAATGTATTATAATTAGGGCAGCATCTTTGTGTGTTTTGCGTGATCTTAAGTTTGGTCGGTCGGTGGGTCGGTTTAAAATAACGAAAATGACGAATTATTTAAGTCTTTTGTTCATATCTAAATCAGAAAAGAAACATCTTTAACTGGGCCTGTTTAGGACAGCCTTATGAAATCTTCCTAGGGGTAAAAGACCTGTCTTAAAAACAATTCACTCTGTTTTCGTTTTTTGGTGTACAGGAAATACAAAAATGTATTAAGTAAATGGTTTGGTGTAAAATTTGGTGTAAGAATTTGAATCCATAACACAGATTGCACTGCAAGCTAAGGCAGAGAACGGCAAAGGAAAACAGCAGAAAACATAAAAATAGATTGAATCAGATGTTACAAAGATAGACACATGTGTTATGAAAACGTTTTTTGACTTGTAAAATATATATGATAGTGTCTCAATAAATGAAATGTAAAAGAAGGAGAATGGTAATACCTTGCGCTCAGCCTTGCTGTGAAATGGTTACTTGTCCCCGACCTAGTCTTCATCCCAGAACTGACACGGGAAGGAAGCAATTGAAACAGTAGTCGATAGGTTCTGAGTTCGAGTCGGCGGTCAGCCTTGTGGATGTTCACGTGTCTTCGACCTAGTCTTCATCGTCTTAATAGGAAGGAAGCCATTGAAGCAGTAGTCGATAGGTTCTGAGTTCGAGTCGGCGGTCAGCCTTGTGGATGTTCACGTGTCTTCGACCTAGTCTTCATCGTCTTAATAGGAAGGAAGCCATTGAAGCAGTAGTCGATAGGTTCTGAGTTCGAGTCGGCGGTCAGCCTTGTGGATGTTCACGTGTCTTCGACCTAGTCTTCATCGTCTTAATAGGAAGGAAGCCATTGAAGCAGCAGTCACAGTTCGAGTTGGCGGCCAAATTACAGTAGGTCGGAGGATGAGACATGCAAAAAGTAAAAACACGCTGATTACCAGAGCCCCTATTCTCGAAACGTTCGTAGGCCTATGAATTTATAATTTTGATCGTAGCCAATGTGTTAAGAATGGGCTTAAGAAGTTCGAAGGACTACGAACGTTTCGGGAATAGCTAGCCAGCTCCTTGTCTGTATTTGAACATGTTTATTTGTTTTACTTATCTAACATAATGCTTCGTACACTGGCTGAGGACAAAGGACGTGTTGAACACACTCATCTGTGAAGAGGAGAAGGTGCACATTAGAACGAGCGAGGGACATACAAGAAATCCCAGGAGACATACCATCTTCTGTAAAACCCCGTTGAACCAGACCGTTAACAGTGAAGACATCAGGCTAAATGAATGTTCTATAAATATTATACACAAGTCAAACAGTTAAGCGTGTGTGTACGGTATTGCGTTATCACAGACAATATACAAAATATATTCATTGATAATCCACTGTACATGGGGACATTTTTATCTCTCCATAGCACACACAAAATGATACAAAATATACACATACTTTATGTGAATATCCGAATATTCCTCGATCCCGTCTTAAAGGGCAGTTTGACGTTTCCTTTTGACGGGTGTGTGTGTGGTGTGTGTGTGTAGATAACGTCATTATAAATTGATTACGAACGCGTTATTAGTACACATGGCAGCTGTGTATTGGTATATCATATGGTACTTTATTGATGTATCATGTGGTAATTACCCATGAACTTACCGGTGACAGCCGTCACTGATGGAAGCTTCAGACCTGCTACTGATACACTCACCTTTAACTAGGTGGAGCATGGAATTGTTATTACTTGTTAACATGCTCGAACACCGGTCAGACATCTCATTCTCTGTTCCGTATTACACATTAGTCATACCCAGCACCTCTCACATTCCAGCCACACAGTAACACAATACTGCCTTGCATACAAATATATACAACCATGCTAGAGGAGTCAACGCATGTGGGAAAATCTTTAACAGACATTTAAATGAGCGACAAACATAATCTTCGGTTACCCAAGAATCAACATTCTGTTGAATGTTGTATATACGCAGTAATTTGTTTTGATTAACCTATATAATATCGTACAGCAGGCATTAATAGTATCGCTTTAATTTGCTTCTTGTTGGTACAACACCGCATTCTTATGCGTGCAGATGTTAACGTATTATTTCAGCTTGGACATCGAAACGTACAGTGTAACAAGGAAGTAATGTTACCTACTTGTATTGAGCACTATCTTACCTGTACTCAATGTTATGACTTCAGGTGAAGTAGATTCTGTCGAGGCACCCTCTGTAGATGTTGTAGGTGTGGTTCCGGTGGCAGAAGCTGTTGACATACTTGTTGTGTCGGTTGGCGTCTCCGTGGTCATAAGGGTTGATGTAACTGTGGTTGTGGGGGTTGGTGTATCTTTGGTCATAGCTGGGGGCTGTATTGTTCTGCCGGATTGTGGGGCTGATGTATCTGTGGTTGGCTGTACTTGTTGTGCCGGTTATCTCTGTGGACATAGGGGTTGATGTAACTGTAACTGTGGTTGTGGGGGTTGATGTATCTGTGGTTGTGGGGGTTGATGTATCTGTGGTTGTGGGGGTTGATGTAACTGTGGTCATAGCCATAGAGCCATAGAGATCTTTAACAGACATTTAAATGAGCGACAAACACAATCTTCGGTTACCCAAGAATCAACATTCAACTGCTGTTGAATTGAAATACGCAGTAATTTGTTTTGATTAACCTATACAACAAGTATTATTGGTATCGCTTTTCTTAGCTTCTTGTTGGTTCAACACCGCTTTCTTATTCGTGCAGATGTTAACGTATTGTTTCAACTTGTAAATCGAAACGTACAGTGTAACAAGGAAGTAATGTTACTACATATATTGAGCGCTATCCTACCTGTACTAAATGTTATGACTTCAGGTGAAGTAGATTCTGTCGAGGCACCCTCTGTAGATGTTGTAGGTGTGGTTCCGGTGGAAGAAGTAGTTGACTCGCTTGTTGATGCCCGGTCGATGGCTGTATCTGTTGTTGAGTCGGTTGGCGTTGCTGTGGTCGGAGAGCTTGATGTAACTGTGGTTGTGGCGGTTGCGGTGTTTATAACCTTGGTTACCTCGGTTGTCATTGCCCGGCCGGTAATAGCGTTCCCTTTTGACGGCGGGGTAGATAACGTCATTATAAATTGATTACGAACGCGCTACATGTACTCCTGATTAACCTATATAATATTATATAACAGGTATTAATAGTATCGCTATTATTACTAGCTTCTTGGTGGTTCAACACCGCATTCTTATGCGTACAGCCAACACATATTATGCGTATTGTTTCAACTTGTAAATCGAAACGTACAGTGTAACAAGGAAGTAATGTTACTACATATATTGAGCACTATCCTACCTGTACTCAATGGTATGACTTCAGTTGAAGAAGATTCTCTCGAGGCACCCTCTGTAGATGTTGTAGGTGTGGTTCCGGTGGAAGAAGTAGTTGACTCGCTTGTTGATGCCCGGTCGATGGCTGTATCTGTTGTTGAGTCGGTTGGCGTTGCTTTGGTCGGAGAGCTTGATGTAACTGTGGTTGACTCGGTTGTACTCGTTGCGACGCTTGTTGAACTTGACTCTGATCCCGGTACTGGCATGTACAAGATCATGAAGCATGTTCAGTGTATGACGGCAATAAGATGCTTTAACACCTTAAGAATTAAACTACAAAAAGAACACACAGACCCACAAGGTTCAAAACACAACAGGGGCGGTGGGGTAGCCTAGTGGTTAAAGCGTTCGCTCGTCACGCCGAAGACCCGGGTTCGATTCCCCACATGGGCACAATGTGTTAAGCCCATTTCTGGTGTCCCCCGCTGTGATATTGCTGGAATATTGCTAAAAGCGGCGTAAAACTAAACTCAGTCAATCAGTCAGTCAAAACACAACATAACACTATGATCAATGGGGACCATACAACTCTTGCAGCCACTAGGTACAGCGAGTTAATGTGGCTTTCCCATCCTTACAAGGTACCCATTCACATCTGGGTGGACTGGGACAACATCGTCACAGTACCTTGTCCAATTTTACTGCACCTCGCTGTACCCGTAACTAGGTGTTTGCACTTATGTATGTGGCCACCATCTGGTCATTTACCAACGGTTTCGTGAGTTCTTTTAATTTGAAAGGTCACATGCAACCAAAAAATGAAACGTAATTAAAACACAGTTATCACTTATTCATGACATATAAAATACATTGCTGGTTATGAAAAAACATATAAACAAAATTATAAGCGTACAATCGCAAATCAGAAGTGCAAAATTGTGTACTTCGGTTTACTTTCCAAGAAACGAAGCAGCCGGGATACCGAACCCAGTCAGAGCGAGTGGGTGTGCACTCAAGTGTAACGGCTGGTTCATTTGCAGATGCCCTCACGGCTAATTGTGTGTGTGTATATATAGAGATGTTGGGTTTTGTAAATACATGCTCATTTTTTGTGTATAACATTTTGCAATCAACAGACATCATAACATGTCATGTGTTCAACTATCACACCTGCCTGTCTGTGTAATTACATAATGTGACAGAGACCGAACTCGGGCAATAAATCAAAGCATTTTGTTTATGGTGTATAGCCTGATTGGTTTTAAGTTCAAAATGCATGCGGTCAGTGATAGCAGCTGTGTATTGAATATTGTCATTAGCAGACAGGCAGGCAGACACACAGGTGTCAACAAAACAAGACATTGAGTTTTGTCTGTGACAACGACATATCTATATCACAGTTAGAAATTCTGTCAACGCTAAATAATGACATTGCTTTTACGTATCGAACTGAGAAAGTGTCTCGGTAAGAAGAACGTGTGGTGAAATAGACAAATGAAATTATATAAACAGTTAATTTACTGTCATAACATATAAAGCTCGTGCCTGTGAGATATCAACAAAACATTAGAAAAATAGCTCACACCAAAGCCTTCACCGAGTATTCACCCGACAGCCCGCTTCCAAGCTGCGCGAACCTATTTACTTGCGCACGTGCTATGAGCGCAGCCCAGCTGTTGAAACCCGTTTTCCCCAGAAAAGTCTGGGGAAAATTAGTGAAACGTTTGAACTCCGATTTCGCGCGTTTTTTTTCATCGCGTTATTTTTCAACTTTATATGTTGAATTTGCATTTTTGACGATTTGTTTCGGTAAGTCCATACCGAAAGGTATCAGAATCTGCAAAGTTGTGTTTTACGTTGCATGTGACCTTTAACACACTGGGTTGTGTACTGTACACTAGGGGTTGTTATAACACTGAAAGAGTCTGCGCACAAAGTTGACTCCAATGTTTTTACGCCCTGTCACAGGTGGGCTCGATCCCGGCACCTCCAAGCTCGCTGGATCACTAGCCTGGTGCTTTAGACTGCTCGCCCTCTTTCAAGAGAAAGAGTGAAATAATGCAGAAATGGAAATATGACAGAATTTGAAAATTGCTATGACACGATCCATTTACGTTTCGTATGTTCCTGTTGGACATTCCTGTAAGGAAGTCTTTACCCAAGTCTCGAATAAATGTTTCCGTGGTTCACTGTGACTGCCACTATGACTGTTCGTTACAGTTGTGTTGAACACTTTCTTTTAAATAAGTATACAACAGCCACAAAGAGACTGCCTTTGCACATTGAATTACGTGGCTAATTATGAGCTGAACTTTTGCCATCGAGTTTATTGGCTATTGAGTTTCATTATTGTAGTTGATTGTATTCAAATTGAAGTAGGAAAACAACGCCCTGCTATGAACTGACAGTTTCCACAGTTTCACAGTACCACTACTACTACTTCTACTACTACTACTACTACTACTACTACTACTACTACTACTACTACCTACTACTACTACTACTACTACTACTACTACTACTACTACTACTATTACCAGTACTACCAGTACGGTATTTCTGTAGTCAAATCATTACTACCACTACTTCTACAGCTACTACTACTACTACTACTACTACTTACTACTACTACTACTACTACTACTACTACCAGTACTACCAGTACGGTATTTCTGTAGTCAAATCATTACTACCACTACTTCTACAGCTACTACTATCTACTACTACTACTACTACTACTACTACTACTACTACTGCTGTTACAACTAAGAGTAATACCAATAATATCATCATCGTAATATCAATGACATCTATTGTATGTATATTTTTACTTGAAAGTTAGTCGTTTCCAGTTTCGGAAACATCATCATGACGTCACCGGTCTGACACTTGAAAGTCTGACGCTGAGGGAATGCTGCTGCAACTGCTGCTAGTCATGAGTTTTGACGCTGGTAGGGAATGCTGCTGCTGCTGCTAGTCATGAGTCTGACGCTGGTAGGGAATGCTGTTGCAACTGCTGCTAGTCATGAGTCTGACGCCGGTAGGGAATGCCACGGTGAAACCAACATGACCGATCCCCCGCTAAAACCTTCCACCGAGAATCTGAACGTGGGTTTAGATATAATGAATGAATGTTACTTTGTGTTATCACAGCAATTTACGTTTGTATTTACAGGAATTCCACAGTGTCTATTCAGTGTGTATAAATCTTTTGAGTGTGTCTAACAGTGTATAATAATAACAATGGTAACCTGGTTGTTCAGATGTTTGAGACGCCACTGTTTACTGTGCATAGTTGCCTCCCTTCAGCGTCACAGAAACGTATGATTGTGGGTTCGAATCCAAGATTCCCCCTTATTAGATTTCTGGATTAGTCGGAACTATACACTTGCTCGTGGATTTTGAAACCGTGGCAAATTTCCACTTTTGACTTTCCTCAAAATTCAGGCTGACCCACCTTAAAAAATACAGGCGACGTCAAAACAATCCCTCCCATTTTCACACTCTGGTTTACCCGAGTACCATTAAGCGACAATGCTATGTCAATGAACGGAAGTATTTGAAAATGTCAGTGGCGTCTATGTCTATCTCAGCAGAATGCTTTCCGACAGTTATATCATTAAAGGTTTTTAACGTACTTGTCCTGCTTAAACATAGAACCACGCTGGCAGAATGACTTCCGAATGATATTTTGACATTAGTTGTTGAAATAGTTCAAATTAGTTTTCATGTGGACCTTATGACATTGGTCTTTAAGGTGAAAGAGGTTCCATTCTGACGTACATTGATATAAATGACATTTTTATGCGACAGATCGTTTGATTGAACGGATACATGACAACAACAAATAACCAACGAAAAAGATTTACATCAGAATGTTAAATTAGCGGGGACAGGCGCCTGTCAATTGTACAACGGCACCCTGGCAGTATAAGATTGACCTTTCACGTTAAACTAATCCCCTTCCCCCTACCCCGGCAATCCCCAACATCCAACCCAACCCTACACACACACACACACACACACACACGCATGCACGCACGCACGCACGCACGCACACACACACACACACACACACACACACACACACACACACACACACACACACACACACACACACACACACAAACACAAATCACCCAAAAACAAATCGCACAATAAAATACTTAAATGATACAAAAATAACCATAAGCCAGAAACTAATCAAAGTATATCTTTCATCGCTCTTTGTAGTGAGTATGTAGGAAAGTGAAGATTGTTTGTCGCTGCAAACAAGATGCCATAGATTACAGAACATCAAATGTTACAGGTTTCGACGAGACACAATCAAGGACCCTGAGGCAGACATCATGATACATTATAGAAACGCATCTGCGGCTCGACGTTGTTGTCAGAGTCATTGAGTGAGTGAGTGGGTGAGTTTAACGCCGTCTTCAATGAAAGATACTTCAAGAATGAATAATTATTTTATGCAACAAACGTGTGACCGATTCACAGCTGCGACGTCATTCGTATCCCTCGCGTACACATACAATTGTGTGGCTTATTGAATATATTAGGATACTGGTATACATTTAACGTCTTTAATGCGTTAACGTGTTGGACTTTAGCCCCCGGCTTCACCTTGGGGGACCAAATTCAATATATATGTCGTGCTTGTACGAATCAATATTTGTGAACTGCTTTCCGTGATAGCATTGACCTAAAGTTCACATAGCACAAGCTCACAGCAGCTACGGGGACTTTGCTATCGTAGCATGGATTGCGATATTATCTTGAAGAGTTTTCAAGCAGTTGAATTTTAAATATACATTCCTGCTTTCTGTTTCTGTATGTGCCCTCCACAAGTACACGTACAATGAAAACTGCACATAGAGTGGGTGACTGACTGATTGGATGCGTGGGTGAGTTTGGGGTGTATGAGTGAGTGAGTGATTGAGTGGCGCATATCATCTTTCTACCGTTGGTACCCTACATCATTTCGAGTACATACACATGAAGAGTACATCATTAGGTCCAATGGTATCAGTTAAATCAGAACATCCTCACTGCGTTAACTGTGAACCCAGAACAAGTAAGCTGATTAACTATGAGCCCGCAGTGTCACCACGATTAAGTTAGTTAGTTGACTGTGAGCCCATAGTGTTACCACGAACAAGTCGGTTGGTGAACTGTAAACCCATAGTGTCACCACGAACAAGTAACCTGATTAACTGTGAGCCCATAGTGTCACCACGAACAAGTCGGTTGGTGAACTGTAAACCCATAGTGTCACCACGAACAAGTAACCTGATTAACTGTGAGCCCAGAGTGTCACCACGAACAAGTCATGTAAACCCATAGTGTCACCACGAACAAGTTGGTTGGTGAACTGTAAACCCATAGTGTCACCACGAACAAGTAACCTGATTAACTGTGAGCCCATAGTGTCACCACGAACAAGAAACTGTCAATAGTGTCACGGTTGGTGAACTGTAAACCCATAGTGTCACCACGAACAAGTAACCTGATTAACTGTGAGCCCATAGTGTCACCACGAACAAGTTAGCTGGTTAACTGTAAACCCATAGTGTCACCACGAACAAGTAAGCTGATTAACTGTGAGCCCATAGTGTCACCACGAACAAGTTGGTTGGTGAACTGTAAACCCATAGTGTCACCACGAACAAGTTGGCTGGTTAACTGTGAGCCCATAGTGTCACCACGAAGTGAAGTGTCATCACACGGTTGGTGAACTGTAAACCCATAGTGTCACCACGAACAAGTCAAACCACCACGATGTTAACTGTGAGCCCAGTGTCCCCAGTGTCACCACGAACAAGTCGGTTGGTGAACTGTAAACCCATAGTGTCACCACGAACAAGTAAGCTGATTAACTGTGAGCCCATAGTGTCACCACGAACAAGGATTAACTGTGAGCCCAGAGTGTCACCACGAACAAGTTGGTTGGTGAACTGTAAACCCATAGTGTCACCACGAACAAGTAACCTGGTTAACTGTGAGCCCAGAGTGTCACCACGAACAAGTTGGTTGGTGAACTGTAAACCCATAGTGTCACCACGAACAAGTAAAGAATAGTGTCACCACGAACAAGTTGGTTGGTGAACTGTAAACCCATAGTGTCACCACGAACAAGTAACCTGATTAACTGTGACACCATAGTGTCACCACGAACAAGTTGGCTGGTGAACTGTAAAACCATAGTGTCACCCATAGTGTCACGAACAAGTCGGTTGGTGAACTGTAAACCCATAGTGTCACCACGAACAAGTAACCTGGTTAACTGTGAGCCCAGAGTGTCACCACGAACAAGTCGGTTGGTGAACTGTAAACCCATAGTGTCACCACGAACAAATCACTTGGTTAACTGTGAGCCCAGAGTGTCACCACGAACAAGTAAACTGATTAATTGTGAGCCCATAGTCTCACCACGAACAAATCACTTGGTTAACTGTGAGCCCATAGTGTCACCACGAACAAGTCAAATCCGTATAGTGGTTAACGAACAAGTCTCCAGAGCCCAAGAGTTTCACCACGAACAAATCACTTGGTTAACTGTGAAACGGAATATTGACAACAACTAACTACTGCAACTAAGTAGTTGGCGTTGAAATACCTTGTTTTTATAGGGCCCCAATGTAAGAATATGAACACTTTATCACTGGCAATCGCTTAATTCTTTAGGCTGATGTAGTGATTCAATGTAACAGTAACTGAAGATACATTTCACATAAATTATATGGGTTGTCAATGTGTGTGGATGTTCAGTGTTAGTGTGAGAAGAAACATGTCACACACCACAATTGGTTAACAATGTGTGTGGATGTTCAGTGTTAGTGTGTGAGAAGGTATAATATCGTATACCATCATATTCTCTGTGTGTGTGGATGTTCAGTGTTAGTGTAAGAAGATGCATGTCACACACCACAATCGCCAACCGTGTCAATGTGTGATGTTCAGTGTTAGTGTGAGAAGATACATGTCGTTACCATCATTGGTTCTCGTGTGTGTGGATGTTCAGTGTTAGTGTGAGAAAGATACGTCACACACCACAATCGGTTGTCAAATGTGCGTGGATGTTCAGTGTTAGTGTGAGAAGATACATTTCATACCCACAATTGGTTGTCTGTGTGCGTGGATGATCACTGCTGCGTGTGAGAAGATACATGTCATACACCACAATTGGTTGTCTGTGTGTGTGGGATGGTCACTGTTAGTGTGAGAAGATATATGTAACACACCACATTTGATTGTCTGTGTGCGTAGGTGTTCACTGCTAGTGTGAGAGAAACATGTCATATACCACAATTGGTTGTCTGTGTGCGTGGATGGTCACTGCTAGTGTGAGAAGAAACATGTCATATACCCACAATTGGCTGTCAATGTGTGGATGTTCAGTGTTAGTTTTGAGAAGATACATATCATATGCCACAATTGGTTGTCTGTGTGTGTGGATGTTCGAGTGTTAGTGTGAGAAGATGTATGTCACACACCACAATCAGTTGTCAAATGTGTGTGGATGTTCAGTGTTAGTGTGAGAAGATACATGTCATATACCATCATTGGTTCTTTGTGTGTGTGGATGTTCAGTGTTAGTGTGAGAGATGCATGTCACACACCACAATCGGTTGTCAATGTGTGTGGATGTTCAGTGTTAGTGTGAGAAGATACATGTCATATACCACGATTGGTTGTCTGTGTGTGTGGATGTTCAGTGTTAGTGTGAGAAGATACATGTCATATACCACAATTGGTTGTCTGTGTGCGTGGATGATTACTGTTAGTGTGAGAAGAAACATGTCACACACCACAATTGGTTGTCTGTGTGCGTGGATGATCACTGCTAGTGTGAGAAGATACATGTCATACACCACAATTGGTTGTCTGTGTGCGTGGATGGTCACTGTTAGTGTGAGAAGATACATGTCACACACCACAATTGGTTGTCTGTGTGCGTGGATGGTCACTGCTAGTGTGAGAGAAACATGTCATATACCACAATTGGTTGTCTGTGTGCGTGGATGTTCACTGTTAGTGTGAGAAGATACATGTCACACACCACAATTGGTTGTCATGTGTGTGGATGTTCAGTGTTAGTGTGAGAAGATACATGTCATACACCACAATTGGTTGTATATGTGCGTGGATGATCACTGTTAGTGTGAGAAGATACATGTCACACACCACAATTGGTTGTATATGTGCGTGGATGATCACTGTTAGTGTGAGAAGATACATGTCATACACCACAATTGGTTGTCTGTGTGCGTGGATGATCACTGCTAGTGTGAGAAGATACATGTCACACACCACAATTGGTTGTCTATATGAGTGGATGGTCACTGCTAGTGTGAGAAGATACATGTCACACACCACAATTGGTTGTCTATATGAGTGGATGTTCAGTGTTGGAGTGAGAAGGGTGGACTTCAGGTCGTCAAATTTTCAAATATGGTCCGGAAACTTGGCCGATAATATTATAACGGTAAAACACACTAGAATTTTAAGTTTCTTACCGGCCGTTAGGCTGAGACACAGCAGTGTCAGGAGCAAATTCCGTCGTGCAGCCATTGTCTTGTTCCTTCCCTGGCACACTGAATACAGTAAGTCGTGATGTCATATATACCTGAGGGTCCTACACGGTAGTTCAACGTGTGAAAACATGTTTTGACGCCACATGACCTTAGGCACTGATCGGATTGATAACAAACGACATGAATAAATATATATGGGTGTATTTTGTGCTTGCAGGGACAGCTTTCTTGTTAATGTAACATGAGATTAAACAGCGATACACTGTTAGGGTACATAGAGTATAGAGGTATATATGTAGC